GAAATTAATTATTGATTAGTGCAGCTCAAAATGAAGCCTTGTGTCTGTGAGATCAAAGTAGACTGTCTTAACCCACAATCATTAGAATCTATATTTTGAAACGAAACCTGTTAGTTTCTGTGTGCAATACAAATAGAGGCTTGAGGCATTTATCTAACACAAAGAAAGGGTTTATAGGTTAGTGGGAACTGAAAAGTCAGTGAAGTGTGTCTTTACTCAATAGCAACAGCAAAGATATTAAATCAGTAGACTCAACTTAGCCTGCGGCCACAAGATCTCTCATCTAGTTTTTTGAAAGCCCCGTCACAAGTCACCAGTTCACATTAAATTCCAGGCAGCGTTCAGTGCTGTAAGGTGAAGGGTGTGTCTGGTTTGCTGTTGTGGGAAGGGATCTCTCCCCCACAATAGCAGAACGGGTTTGACTGCTCACCTGACTTTCTTAAAAGGGTCATTTACACCTGCTGCCGCACCGTTAGTCCAGAGGAAAGAGCAAGGTGCTCACTGTTAAATCAGCACTGGGAGAAGGAAGAGGCAGAGATGGCTGCAACAACTGCTCAGCCCATGGGGAGCCTGCCCAGTGGACTGGGAATATGCACCACAGCACCGGATATATTTTACATACCTGAACTGGTAAGTGGGCAATGACAGACAACAATGACTGATCTTCAGGTCATTAAGTATTCTCTTCAGGATGCAGTTACAATTTTATAGTTCTCATTTTAAAGTATTTTAAATACGACAAATATTTTATTAAGGTGTGCCATTGCAACAAGTTCATATATATATGAGTTAAATAAGCCTTCGGCTCATATAAATACTTCATATGATGCCTAAAATTGATGCCTAAACTATTTTTTACAGGATAAACGACAATTGGTAACAGTGCTATGTATTGGGTGTGAGTTTAAGGATGAACAAAACTCAAACTTCCTTTCACCAAAATACAAATTCTGATTTTATGACTTAAATTAGCTGCTGGTATTTCTGATAATTTAGTGGTCCTATATCTCAGTGGGCCTATATCTCCATATAGTAGCCACATTGTTTCAGGATAAAAGTGCACGATTTGGAGACAGAGAGTCAGTGGAGATAATTCTTCATGTGGGAGGAGCATCATCTCTCTTCACATCTCACATTTCACTTATATTGTGTCTCTGTTAATAAGAAAGAATGCAGCTGGCTCTTCTTCACCCTGACTGATTACAAAGGACACTCGTATAACAACTGAAAAAAACAAAACTCCACAGATAAAAATGTTTTATTCTCACAACCAATACCCTCACTAAAGTTTTAGTTTGTTTATTTTGGCTCCCCGCAGCCAGTCATGCTGTTATATTGTATGAGAACAGTTAAAAACATGAACATTTTCATATCTTGAAGACTGATGAGTTTCGAACGTTGCCACAAAATGCGAATGCAGTAAGAAGCCCTTTATGAACTGTTTCAGTTCACCAATGACTAAACTGCACTGGAAAAACTTGCTGTATTAACAAGTTATTTTACCTGTTCCAAAGTGTACAGTTCATTTAACAATTAACGAACTAATTAGCTAATTGTTTGGCTGGAATGTAATGGATTTAAGCACAGATATGGTCAAGATGACCAGCTGAAATTTAAATTGAGTGTCAGTATGGGGAAGAGAGGTGATTTAAGTGACTTTGAGTGCAGTATGGTTGTTGGTACCAGATGGGCTCCTATGGGTATTTCATAAATTGCTAATCTGCTGCTATTTTCCCACAAAACAATGTCTAGGGTTTATAGAGAATGGCCAGAAAAACATAAATGCCAGAGAACTCTTTCATGCTGAAGCAACAGTCAGTCAAATAGCGTTTTTTTTCCCCAGCCATCTCTAAATGCCTAACCTCGAAGTAAAGTACGGGTGACAAGCAGCAGAGTACCATACTTTGTGGGAACCCAGGCTAGGATCACCAAATTTGGACAATAGAAGACGGCAAAAGTGCTGTGTGTCCTCAGGAGCCTTGAATTTACTGTAAGCTTTGAATCTGGCCTAAACATGGCTACATTCTGCATTGTTTTAACAGTTCAGGTTCCTGGTGGTGTAAAAGTCTGGATGATAGTTTCTTAGCAC